CTATTAGCTCACTGTTTGATCAACTGTTGTAGTTAGGGGAGGTCATATGAAGAGCATGAGAGGATTGTTGGGGTTTCAATAACCTGAGACTTCATGTGTGAAAACAAATAAATCTTGATCTTTTTTTAAAGGTGCAATATGTAACTCTGACACCTAGTGTTTAAAATGAGTACTGCAGACCAAATTCAAAACATTGCAGAATTCTGGGTCGCTGGTGGCGCAGTGGTTAGTGTCTGCGCCCCATGTAGGGAGGATGTAGTCCTTCAGGCGGGCGGCCCGGGTCCAAATCCGGCCTGTGGCTCCCTTCCCGCATGTCATTCCCAACTCTCTCTCTCCCTGATTTTCCGGCACTATCCACTGTACTATCTCTCCAATAAAGGCACAAAAAGGCAAATAAATCTTTAACAAAAAAAAATAAAAAAAACATTGGAGAGCTGTCTTAATTCAGTAGATATCTTACACATTGGATCTTTAAGTTTAATTCATTATTTAGTTATCTAGTGTGAGACTGTTAGCCATGTCCCGAATATCACCGAGCGAGACGATGAGAAGTGTAGAAGTGGTGACTGGCGGTAGGAGGCAACCCGCACAGATGCGCTTGACAACTGTAACGCTCATTGCTCACAATTATCTCTTAACTCCAGCTCTCACCAGGGGCACTGCTTGTCAACAGGCAAGGCAAGCAACTGCTTTGGGCCCCCGAGGGCTGAAAAACATTTAACCAAAGCAACAAACCAAATGTGCGAATTTTGCAATGACAGTAGGAAACTCCCTAAGGGGGCCCCATGATAGCACTCACTATCAGTGCCCTGCTAAACGCTGGTGGGAATTACCTTTTGTTTAGGGCCCCAACAGACTCTAGAATCACTGTAGTACACACAAGAAGATAATCAGGACAATTTTGGGCCTGATTCCCTTCTTCTGACCAAAGTCAGCAAAGGTCCGATTCTATTGCCAGATTCTCCTGTTGTGTGAGGAGTGTTAAGAGTGATTTAACCTCCCCGATCTGCTTGGAAGACGATCGGGACCGCCCCAATTTGAAATCGTATATATTAAAACTGTTTAATATCAATATTAGTATTAATTAGAAATCCTATTGTGTGGGGAGAACGTAGGAGCACAGACTCTGTGAATTGTCACATGGGACCAATCAATAGCCAATAGGGAATCAAACTGACTGAAGCAGGAAGACAACACACATTACCATGGCGACGACAGTAAACATGAAGCATAACGTTAGATGGATGTCATAAATTCAGGACCAACTTGTTGATTTGTGGCAACAACACTTATACAACATGTCCTTTAAAACAAACCACAATCCAACTGACAAGGAAAGGAGTTGGACCAAAATGTTTTGGATGTACCAGCTAACCGCTAGCCACATTTAGCTTGACCATCATGTTTGTTTACTCTTAAGTCACGTTTGACTGCGCCAGATAACACGCTCTGATAGTTGAGACTCTGGTTGTTGGTGAATGAATCGGTTAGTGTGTGGTGTGCTGAGTTGGTCGTCTCGTTGCACACTATGAAACCAAACTGTTAATCTGGCATGATATGTCGTCATGTATGGGCTCTCTCACATTTTCAAAATTGTTTATGAGATTTAAAAATATTTAAGTGTGTGCCAGGCTTAATGAAGATTTTAACATTGTACATTTGACCAGATCACGTGTCCAGCAGCTGTTTATCTTCATAGTTGTGGCGTTATGGCAACAAAAGTTTGAAAAAAAAGCAATGAGTTCTAGAACGTTGTCCTCATTGTGACAACATAGACCTGAATTCAAACCCTCTCTGCCTTCAGCCAGCCTGCTCATTTGTGCCTAGAGAGTGATCGTGTTGGAGTATTTTTGAGTCTGTTGTTTGAGTTAAACCATTTTGAAAGTTTTTGTCAGTGTATTTCCAAATTATCTTCTTCTGTTTTGAATACACTTCAATTGAATGTCCATGGAGTTAATTGAAGGGAGCCGAGGCATCTACAGACCCATCAGGGTTTTGTTCGACCCTCCCATTCATGAACAATTACTGCAGCTCTGCTGGCACATCCAGTCATATAAGATCAAGATTGCAATGGTGGCTGAATTCTTACATCTACAGAAGAAGAACGAGTTCCCGGCTGAGGTTACTGTGGAAGACCTGACAGACCTGCTGGTGATGGAGAGCGAGAAGTCTCTCAGACTGCAACTCTGGGACTTCGAGTTGGAGGATTTTGATGATGTGGACGTGAAGCCTCTTCTCAAGCTGGTGTGGGTGGTGAACACCAGCTTGCAGATACGAGATGTGGAGTTTGAAGCAAAAAGATTGCTCAACTCACCAGAGAAGATGCCACCGTCCTTTCGACACCCTAAGATCATCAGCCAGGCGCATGAATATTTCAGGATTCTTGCTGAACAACAACATGAGGTTCACATTTCCAAAGAGTTGGGCCCACAAGGGACGGTGATGGATGTCGTTCCCAAAGTCCTGCAGGACTTATGGGTCCCTCCAAAAACCACCTCCCGGGAAATGCCCTCCCAGCAGCTCAGTAAGATGACTGTTGGAGTCACAAAGGCTGTTCTGGATCGTGTGTCCACTGCTCTGTCTACTAATCTAAGTGAGATCTCCTTTTGTAGATTCATGAGAGACAACATGGTCCTCTCTATCACAGGGAAGGTGCGACAGATTTACACTCCAGACATCCTAAAGAAAAAGAAGAACTGCTTTGAAGCACATTTGTTGAACACCATCACTGATGTTGTAGTTGGGCACATCTGTGGGCTGTTTGAGGCTCAAGCTCAAACAGACATACCTGCCGATGAACACCCAGCCAACACGGCTGTTCAGAGTTCAGAGTTTAACTGCCAGGCTAGACACAACCAATCATACACATGAACAAGTCTGCAGTCAGCAGGTCGTCATGTTTCATACACTCAGAACAAACTATTCTGAAGTTAAAAATATGAAGTTAAATAGATGCTCATGACTTAAATCACACAGCTGCAACAACTGCAGGAAGAATTTGCTCAATAACCGTCGCTGAGTGTGAATGTGCAGATTGTGGATTAAAATATCACTTTTTCATCATTAATGTAAAATAGATCTAAATGTATAACTCATGTTTCTTCCCTTGAAGTAATGTGTAAGGTGTCTGACAGTACAAGTCCTGATATTGCAGCTGCATGTCAGACAAATTCCTCCAGCTGGTTTGTGGGCGCTGCCATCTTGTGGTGGCCACCATTACTGCATTGGCACCTCAGCTGTGACCAGATGTGACAGTTTCCAAAACTGCAGATCAATCTGAGTATATGACTGTCTTTTCTTGACAAGTTATTTCCACCCATTTAAGTGGAACCAACCCTGCCTACGTCTCCACTGTGTAATTCCCTAAGCCATCACATGTTCTCCTGCTTACACCCCCATGATGTCAAGAATGGACCAAAATACTTAAACTAGTATGAAATTCTTTTAAATACTCTCAAATTCCCCTTGCATTCAATCTTTTTCTCTTTCTGTAACTTATGCTTAAAAACTAAAAAGAAGAGAAACATTTGGAACACAACAGGAAACTTTTACTGAAGTGTAGTACACAAGCTCGCTCACATTTATGTCAGTGTTCAAAAATAACAATTACAATCACAGACACCATTTGTAAGACTGCTGGGAAATATACATTCAATACACATAACATGAAGGAACAAACAGGTTCACTTTTTATTACAAACACACAAATGCAAACACTGAAAATGTGTCACACCGACCGGCTACCAATCTATCAACCAATCAGAGACGGGCACAGTTATTCAAATAAAGTATTTAACCGTTAATCCGTTAACAAAGACATTCACTTCAATAGCATTTACTGTAATCAGTTAGTTCTGTTTATAATTAACTGACATTAACATTAACATTAACATTAACATTAACATTAACATTAACATTAACATTAATGTGTTACGGTTTAAAGAGTGACTGTGTTACCATGGCGACCTTTAGCCGAACGCGTCTGTGGATGTCTTAGTAAAATACGTAGGCTTTATGATTGGTATTTATGACATTACGATAAAAAAATAAATAAACAAAGCTGCTTTTCTTCTTCAACATTTGTTGTGACTACATTAACTACAGACACATTCGGCTGAAAGTCGTCAGCTAACGTTGTCATTTCTTTAAACCATGACACCGGTATTATCAGTAAAATAAAAAAATAAACATCAGCTGTTTGCGGGCTCAATAGATTTGAGTTTCTTAAGAGGCCATGATGACTGAGAAAACTCTAAATTACAAACATGTCGGTATTAAAAATCTAAAAATAATATAATTAGTTTTGTCTTCACTGCAGTGGTCCACTGGCAGTACCTTCATGTAGGTCAAGCTGCACTCCACAATAAAAGCGCCTGGAGCAGAGACGGGTGTGTTGGCCTCCTATTCAGTTAGCTCTCTAAAGGAGGCGGTGTGCTCCTGCTCTGGATGTCAGAGATCCATCTTACCATGTAAGAGTCAGGGTTTGACATTTCAGGGAATTTGAATTTACTGTAAGTTAAAGTATTCTATAATCAATTTAAAAATGTCATTAATTTAAAAAGTGAAAACAATAATCAACAGTTAACGGATTAACAGACGTGCCCAGCTCTACTACTAAATTACGGTTTATTCTGAACACATGCTCATGTCAGGTCATGACTCTTCAGCCTGGCCCTACAATATTTTCATATAGTTTTGTAAATGTATGCAGATGTTGCTCCCCTGGACTGGCTGAGGAGTGTATCTCTAAACCCTGAACGTAAACACAAAGAGGAAACCAAGTTCAGTTGTGTTCAGATCGGCTGCATCGCACAGTATTATGTTCCTCACGACCTTTATGCCCCCTCTAGTGACCATTTTGAATATTACACTGGTGTGTGTGTGACTTTAAATAACATTTTAAGAACTGTATTTTCATATCATAAACCTTTTCAGGCTTTGTAGCATAATATTTATGGACGTTTTTAATCCTTGTAAACGTATGAAAGACGCTTTATAAACACAGTTTGTAATTTATTTATTATTACTACAGTTGAATACAGATTGAAAGAGATGAGTTGTATGCTGGTGATGTTGTAGTTTAATCAGACACATGACACTGAGAGGTTCCTCTTACTCCACCTGTAGTGGTTAAATGTGTTTTGTTCAGACAGAACTTTAAAAGAAAGGTGAGATAAGAGAACAACAAATAAAAACATGTTTCAGAGGACACAGATAGAACCAATATTCACATTACAGTGTATTTGTCTGCAGCTATAAACCAGATTCATCAGGTTGTTCAGATGTTTCATACCTGAAATTTTTTGATCTTCAGTCATATTTTTTTTTACAGAAAGCTGCCGTGAGTGATAGAAAGAGAGCACACTCAAGCCCATGAAAACATCGGCAACGTTTTCAGAAACATTTTTCTGCTATTTACAGTATTTGATATGCCCCCAATACCGCATGTCTATACAATTAGTGTTTTTCAAGCTTTTGGTTCCAATTCAGGTATATTGAAATTGTATATGTTTTTTTGTATCTTATCGTGACAACTCAGATCACATCAGACAAAAAACATTTCTGTGTTAAACTTTAGGTGTTTAATGCATTTTGAAACTAGGACCTCCTGAGACATTCTCACATATGTAATACATGCTGCTCAGACTGAAAATGAACGAAGATCGTCGTTGATCACGCCTGTCACTCAAACAGCAGCTCTCCGTCAGTCCAGCTGACTCATCATGAGGCTACTTTATCATTTCCAAAGACGCCCTCAACCCACAAACCAACAACCCCTGTTAGCAATGACGTCAGTCCAAGATAATGACTCGCTAGCTCGAGAGCTACACATACACGGAGGCCGTGTGTTCACAGACAACGCTTTCTGCGTCAGCAGTGCCCACAACATCCTTATTGTTACGAAAGTTAAGTTCTGCTTCCCTTGGTATTGACAGTTAGGTGTGTTTTGGATGTGTGCTTAATGTTTGTTTAATTCAAGGAAATATCACCATGTCCTGACATTAGCAGCAGCTCTACACCTGGAAACAGGTCAGACTAGCGTCTCCTTGGCCACTGTTATTGACAAAGCTGATATCAGAAGTCCCGCCCCTTCTTGATTTTGATTGGTCAGTGAAGGAGGTGTGACATTGGCGGGCATTTCAAAAAGTTAAACTTCTTTCAACTTGCAGCGCTGTGAGCTCCTTGACAGAAAACGGTAAAATTCAGAGAGAAGCTCCTGAGAGAGGAGGAGGCGACCCTTCAGAGCGGGCAGAACGTTTTCCCAACAAGGTCAACAAGTAAAAAAAACATTTAACACAATAAACTGTAAACAAACAACACTGAATTGTCTGAAAGAGGAATGAGACACACAGACACACACACACACACACACACACACACACACACACACACACACACACACACACACACACACACACACACACACACACACACACACTAAAGACACACTAAACAGGAGCTGACGTCTGAGACTGAGTTGTCTGGAGGCTTTTCTCTGTCTGTTGGCGTTTTTTGCAGCAGAGGGCGGTTACCGTGACGATGATGATGAAGACTGTGAGCAGGACGAAGATCACAGCGACCAATGCTCCCATACTCAGCTCTGCGGGGACAAAAACAGAGGCTCAGTCATGTCACATGTCAACACAACATTTTTGCAACACAAAATGACACAGTAGTTCACAAAATGATTTCCAATTGTTCACGCTTTGCTAGCAGTGCGAAACTATGTGACCCCCCCAGGCCATTTGGAGATTTTCCCTTCATGACATCACAAAGGGCAGTAGCCCCTCCCCCAGGTGGGTGACACTCCCACAGCTAGGTGTTTGTTCTGCCCTCTGAGTCTACCTTCTCACTGTAAACAATAGGACATGGAACGAGAAAGCCTGAGCCACCCAAAGCCCTTCCAGAGAGGGGGCGTGGTCAGACGCAGCTCATTTACATATTTAAAGGTACAGACACAGAAACAGCCTGTTCTGAGCAGGGCTGAAATAGAGGGGTTTATAGACATGATCAAATACAGGATCAGAGTGGATTCATAACAAACTTCACAAACATGTTTTGAGACTTATTTAAACCTGATAAAAAGGAGGATAATATGTGACCTTTAATTAAAAGCCAGGATATCTCAAATTGGGACGCTTTTTACCCAAACCATAACTTCCTTACAATGACTTAAGAAAAAGTTATTAACAGATGTTTCATGAGAAAGACGGGTTTGTCCATCAGGCTGTGATGATAGATCTGGTCTGTGTGTGTGTGTGTGTGTGTGCGTGTGTGTGTGTGTGTGTGTGTGTGAGTGTGTGTGTGTGTGCGCGTGTGTGTGTGTGCGCGTGTGTGTGTGTGTGTGTGTGTGTGCGTGAGTGTGTGCGTGTGTGTGTGCGTGTGTGCGTGTGTGCGTGCGTGCGTGCGTGTGTCTGTCTGTACCATGCATGCTGCTGCTTTCTTCGTGTGTTTTCTCACACAGCTGCCTGCTCCACGCTCCCAGCTGGGTGCTCGTTGGTCTGGAGGGGATGTAAGCTGCGACCATGAAGCAGTAACTGGTAGCTGCGTCCAGCTTGGTCACCTCCGCCCTACTGCTGTCAGATATGTTCTCTCTCTGTGGAGACACAAAAGCACATTACATACAGCTGGATACAGATGAATTAGTCTGTCCTTTTTTTAATCTGAAGGAAGCAGGGAGAAATTCAACCTTTTTTCTGTTCTAACGTTTGGTATATAGAAAATGTTGGATTGGAAAATTGCGATTCGACATATTTTAAATTTTATGTTTTATTGGAATTCAATTTTTTTTGTCTTTTGTCAAATATGCAAAGTGTTATTGTGTGTAGTAACTTTTGTAATAATTCAATCGTATGAACTAACTGAGCTTCATGTTAGAGTGTGTGTGTGTGTGTGTGTGTGTGTGTGTGTGTGTGTGTGTGTGTGTGTGTGTGTGTCTATGTGTGTGTGTGTGTGTGTGTGTGTGTGTGTGTGTGTGTGTGTGTGTGTGTGTGCGCGCTGAATCCTTTACCTTGCCTGTATTCCCAGACTTGGTGTAGATGATCTTATACTTGAGGTCTTTTGTAAAGATGTCTCTGATGGTGAGCTGCTTGGAGCCCTCGTGCACGCTGGTCAGAGTGTCGATGATGTTGAGCCGTACTGTGCTCGAACTGAGGGCACGCACGCTGAACTCCACAGCGCTGATGTTACCTGAGGAAAGGAAAGAGTCAGAACTCCTGGTGACAGATAAAGGGACTTATTCATGTTGATTTTCCCACCAACTTCACAGTGATGAGACAATCACACACACACTGAAAAAGCTGCTTCAACATTTCTTTAAAGAATACATTTTTTTTATTTTTTTATTTTAACTTTCAGCCACTGTAGTAACAGATAGAAATGCACGAGCTGTGTGTGTTGTGCGTCTGCAGCAATCATCTCCCCTCTGACCATCCTGTAAACGGCTTTGGCCAGAGGTCGCACCGTGCATGCATACCGCGCATGCACGTACTATGAGGGGTGATTCCTGACACCCTTAGCCTCACTGAGCAGAGGAGCGTGTCGATCGGTGCCTACCATACATGAACCGAGACCGTGACGTTGGAGAACAAACATCACTTTTTACAACAATTCAGTGTGAATGAAAAGTGTGCGTGCAGAACTGACAGAGCAGAGGCAAAGATTTGAAAACTCTGCAGCTTAAATAGACCGCTGAATTGGCAGGATTTCAGAAGACTTCTGTGAAATCAGTAAAGCCTGCATAGCTCGCATGTTTTGCTTAATCTGAATGAAGCTCAGAGTCAAATAGTTACAGCAATAAGTTCCTCCTTTGTAGAGATGATTGTGTCTGACACAATCAGGAGATACTGTCTAGCATACTTAAGGCCTTTGATGATACTTTGACTCATGAATGAATGACTTGCAACAGAGTATTTTTTTCTAACTTTGAGACATTTTATCTAATTTCCTCTTGTCTGACTGGATACTGTTAACTGTGTATACGTGTGTGTGTGTGTGCGTGTGCACGCGCGCGTGTTTGAGCGTGCTCGCGTGTATGTACTACTTACTGTCTCTATAAGGGTTAAAGGGTGTGGACTCAGTGTGCTGGAACTCATCGTGACCGTAGTCGCTGTCATGGTCTTCATTGTCTGTGAGGATGTCAGCAGTGTAAAACCTGTCACACAGACGATGGGGATCAGAGATATTACATACATACATATTACAGCTGTCAAAGGATTCACTTTTTTTTATAGCGATGTATTGCTATATTTCAGTATTTAATCCCGATGAATCCCATTTTTAATTACATGTTTAAATTCCATGATTTCACATTTACATTAAAAATAAAAACATTTTAGGCTTTTATTTTGAATTGCTGTACTGTCTTAGGCTGAGAGAACTTGTTTGAATAAAACCCATGCTTTTATTTTGAAATAAAATAAGGACCTTCAGGTAGAAACACGTTAGGGATCAGAAACTAAAGTCAAACAGCTCAGAGGAACGGTAACAAACTTAAATGTCTGATGTCATAAGTCGGTCATAAGTTACTTTGGAGATTTTCTTCAAGTGAAAGGAGACATTCAAAGATGTAGCAGTGTCCATGTTTTGGTGCAGTTTTTTTAATTTTGATTGACCTCACATTCTCACCAGAGTTTCTGTAATTTTTTCTTCTTGTTTACTCTCTGAGTCGTTCCACAGCTGGATTGCGCTATTGTTACAGAAAAATTCTCACATTCAAACTCTTTAATTGAATTAAATATTCAAACAGGAAAACACACAATAATCCCTGAGCGTCATCAGTTCAGTTTTTTTACCATGTCGGGTCTCTTGTATCATATGGTCATATCATATACTCTCTCAGGCTGGTTATGTCAAGTCATCAAAACATCTAGGTGGTTACATGTATGGCTTAATGCATGAACATAATGGTACTAAATGACATCTGTTAGGGTCAGGGTGGTGTTGTAGTCAAGACCACAGTAACCAAGACCAAGACATACCAGAGTGCTCCAAGACCGAGTCAAGACCAAGACCATAAATATCAATGAAAAATCATCATCTTGTGTGCAGCGGGCATGTTACAGACTAAGACCGCTACACCGGGAAGTTGTGGTCGTAACCGGGGGATTAAAATCAAATCAATTGAAGTTATTTGTTATTTTAGAAAGGGGTGTTTTCCTTCTAATCACAATAATGACAGTAATAGCCTGTCAGTGGTGTTCTTGACTTAAAATCCAGATTCCGCTCAGTCTGAGTCTGAGACAAGACCAAATAAAAATGAGACCGATATCGAGTTCTCCAACAGTAGTGTCAGGGTAATCCATTATTAATCATTTAAAGATGTTGAAATGGGTCTTTCTTAAGGGTTTTTCTTTATATAACAGAAACGACAGATATCTGAAATGTCCCCCATTATCCTGCCGTAGTCCAAAATTATTAAAAGGATTTTAAATACATCGAAGGAGTTGACCACAATGTAAGGTCTGTCTGTTTGTCCCATTAAAACATTTAAAAAAAAAAAATTAACTCAGCAAAAAGACATTCTTCTATTTGGGTTTTTCATAGGGAATGAGAGATGGGAACGTTTGATGACCCTGCTATGAATGTGTTCATTTTTAAATTGCAGTTAAAAGCTTTATCAAATGATACTAAAATATTTCATTAAATGACCGTGAGTAAGATCACAAGGCAAACATATAATGCAGATAAGAGAAAAGTATACAGATATGTATAGAACATACAGCCCTGTTCATGTTATGTACTTACTCGTTAAAAGGTTTGAGCTCCGCAGACAAATCACACTCTGACGCTGTCCCAAGGCAGTTACGAGCCTCATACCAGTCACCTTCAGGCCTGACAAATGACACAAGAGATATAGTACTATAATAATAACACAAATCATATCACTCCAATCTTTAAAACACACAAACAAGGTAACCATAGACGAAGCCTGAGTGACGTCACCCATCTGTTCCTACAGGGGGCTCCAGAGGCTCATCAGCAGCAGCCGCCATGTTGGAAATGCTGTCTCAGAATAACTTTCAGTCAACCCGACAGGCTGAGAGCTGGAGCTGAGGCAGGTTTTAAGCCTCTTGAAGTACTGTTACACCGCACCCACCTGTCAATCATGTCAGCTACGAGCCTAACTATGGATAACATGTATCTTTAACAAATCAAAACGGATGCTTACAGTGTGTGCCCATGAGGACAATAACTAATCAGACCTATTTCTTTTGTACCAGGCTGTAAACATGTTTATTTATGCTGTGAAAACAGCTTTTTTGAATGTGGTGTGCATAACCCTTTTCACACATACGGAAATCTCCTGAAAAACTCCGGAGATTTGGCTACCCGGAGGTTCTTTAGGCTATGTTTGAACGCAAACAGCTGCAAGCAAAAGCTTGTGTGACTTCTGGTGTTCCTGGAGCCAGCTTCAAGTGGACACTCGACGAACTTTGCACTTCCGCATAGGCTTCATTTTTCAAGACCGGGGGTTGCCTCTTGTCGACAACACAATATTTCTTTCAGTTCATCTGAACATGTAATTTAATATAACCATGCCAGGTTCTATAAATCGCTAAGTTGCCATTCCTCCATCCCCTTCTTTTTTTGACTCTAAATGGGACCAAAAAATAACTTCATGTTGTATTATAGATGGCTTGAAACTAGATATTAAGACCATTAACTCGTAAGGTAATGTTTACTAAGGGAATGAATCAACTGACATGTAGGACAATGTCATCATAGACTTCTATACAATAGCACTTCTTTGTTCAACCAGTGGAGTCGCCTCCTGCTGGGAAAAGTATGCAGGTCAAAGGTAGTCCACATTGAACTCACTTTTGAGACCCTGATGCTCCATCCAGTTTACTAAACAGTCTGAGCATTCATCTCCCCGAGGAGGGCAGTCCAGGAGACCCCACTGCCAAAACAAGCACAGCTCCTAATTCTCTTCAATAAGAGGGTTATTATTTGATCTAGGCTCTACTTTCCCAGACGTTAAATATGTGCAAGAACACATTCCAGAGATTACTGGACTTTGTATCAAGCACCATGTTGCAAAACGCTTGACTTTTTTTTTTTTTACTGGAAATGGGGTAAGGCGCATCATGGGTGCATTGCATGTCCCTCTGATAACCACGCGGCAACCTGCAGCAATGGAAAATGAAGCCAATGCGGAAATGCAAAAAAGTGCAGTTCCTCAAGTGTCCACTTGGGGCTGGGTCCAAACGACCTGGAAGTCCCATATACATATTTGTATGGGACCATATTTAAATTGACCAGCAGAAATTAACATGTTTAAAACCTGGGCCAAAAAGTTAGTTGATGTCTTTATTGACACACACTGTACTAGGGATTCATTATTTTTATCACTCACCTATTTTCATTTTATGAAGGATAGGAGTTTTGCATGATAAGGGCCGTGACTGATCTTACTGCAAACAGGCTGGTTGTAGCGGTGTGTCTGGAGACTTAAGGCCCGCCTCCGCTCCAGGGCTTTGTCTGTCGTTAGGTTGACCAAAGTTTAGCAGGGTCAGCTTTTACAATATCGCAATAGAAAGGCTTCCAAATCAGCCCTTCAGAAACAAACAGGTGACTGAGGCTCGGTCCAAGTTTATATTCTTTACCCATAACACAGTCACATACCGGCTGCGGCCTCCATGCAAAGCCCCCTTTACCTCCTCAGCTAAAGCCAAACCTTTTGTTTGTATAGTCATGTTTCTGTACTTTAACATCATTTTGAAGAACATTCATCATGGTTGAAAAGATATCCAAAGTGAAGAAATGTGCAAATCGTTGTGATTTGCACATTTCTCCACTTTGGATCAAATGAAGTAAACGTATAGAAAAATCATCATTAAGTATAAATCAGTGCAAAATCTCATGAGCCTGCTGTTTTCCCTTGAAAAACCTAAAACATTATGTAACTGTAACAAAATAAATGAAGTGAAGCAGATTTCTGTCATTTTAAATCTGCGTCTGACACTTAAAGGCACAAAAGTGTCAGAATGAATTCAGCTGGCAGCAGTGAAACAGGACGTAACGACTGCAACATAATCCTTGAAGGAGAAGTCCCCAGACAAAGAAAATCTCTTAAAGTTATTGTTTTTGTTTTTTCACTGACCGGCTCAGATTGTTATTCTAGTGTCTCTGCTGAGTCCGATCTTGTGACATCATCCTCTTCAAAGCCAGCAGACTCCCTCAACAAAATCTGTCTTTTTATCTCGCAGGATACTGGGGTTGCCTTTTGTTCATCACTGCCTGACTTTGTTGTTTTTTTGTTGTTTCTACTGTGTGTACTGTATAGCGGGTATGCATTGACGCCACCTTTCCTCCTGACCATGCCCCCTCAGTGGGAAGGAAATTAGATTTCATAGACATCGAAGCCTTCAGTAGGGGACAAGACGAGTCAAAACTACAAATGTTTGCTTAAATTTAGGACATTCGATTTAAGCCTCGACAGAGATCCTTACTGTTTACTAAAGACACATTGGACCGTGCACATTCATATTTTTGATTTCCTGACTTTTACACATGATTTCAGAGCCACAGCATTAGCCTATAGACGAGCATGAAGACACACATGAGTCCGCTTCAATCAGTGATGGATGGGTTTGCAATTTTCTCCTGATACCTTTGTTAAGGTTTTGGTTGAAATTGTCTTTAGGTCCTGACAGAAATAAATAACTCATGCGCTCTGAAAAAGGAATGAAGAAAATCCATCATCTGTTGCAATTGTAAGCCTGTAAAAACTTGCCAATGTCTGCCAATGTCTGCCATGCGTTCTCTACCCCTTGCATTGTCTAGCCCACACTCAAAGATGACAGACTTTATACTGTGAGTTTGTTGTTGGCCGTTGTGAGTAGTAAAATAGTCATGTTTGGTTTTTCATGTATCACGATAAAGTTTAGTGTTTACTTTACTGAATCAGACATGAGACGATGTAGTTTTTCAGGGAGCACAGAGGGGAGGAGTTAGACGGAGAACTGAGGGAATGCTACATTCAAAATCATGCTAGTTTTCAAAGATTACCAACCCTGCCTTTAAGGTCTTAAGCTGATCTGGGACTGTAAATGTCCCTCTTGCTTCCTGTGAGACTTTGCAGGGATGACTGTGAGAAACTGAGTTGTCAGGATTTCCCACCGGGGATTAATTCAGGATTTCTGATCTGAACAGGCTCTTTAGGTGTGCATGCTGAAAATGGTGATGTCAGAATCTAACCAGCAGCCATGACATGCAGGCATAGAAAATCATCTAAAATGTGTGTGTGCGTGTAGCTCCGTGTGTGTGTGTGTGTGTGTGTGTGTGTGTGTGTGTGTGTGTGTGCGTGTAGCTCCGTGTGTGTGTGTGTGTGTGTGTGTGTGTGTGTGTGTGTGTGTGCGTGTAGCTCCGTGTGTGTGTGTGTGTGTGTGTGTGTGTGTGTGTGTGTGTGTGTGTGCGTGTAGCTCCGTGTGTGTGTGTGTGTGTGTGTGTGTGTGTGTGTGTGTGTGTGTGTGTGTGTGTGTGCGTGTAGCTCCGTGTGGGTGTGTGTGTGTGTGTGTGTGTGTGTGTGTGTGTGTGTGTGTGTGTGTGTGTGTGCGCGTGTGTGTGTGTGTGTGTGTGTTAACTCACCGAGAGAATTTTACAGTGTACGTCTGCTGAGGTGTTTTGCTGGTCCAGGTCAGCATGGTTTTAAAGTCCAGGGATGTCCAACGAACGTTCTCCGCTTTGGAGTTTGGATCTGTGAATTAAACGCAGCATTAGTCTCCACTCAGCCACGGACTCTCGTTATTCTCACATCCTGTTTTTGTTTTCTCAAAAATCAAACAACATGTAGAACGACTCGGATAAACAATCGAGGAAAACAGCCACCCTCCTCTTCCTCTCCACAGATCATAATTAGAGTCAGATTTTTAGTGAGAGCACAGCTGGGCGTGAGCCAAACGAAGAGACTCATAAGTTTAGTTTCTTTGAAGCTGCAGTTTGTTTGTGTTTATTTTTGAGAGGTTACATCCCTCTCTACACAGCCTTCAGACCTCATCTTACCATTCAGCCTGCATGTCATTAAGATGTCAAAACCTACAAATATAAGGCCAATGTTTAAAAAAAATCTCTTCTTTAAATGGTCAAACCAGATGAAGCTGCTGCATGTCCTCTGGGACGAGTCGGGGGTTTCCATCTATGAATCTTTCTCACTGTTCTTGTTTCTTGTATTATTTAAAGAATGTTTCTCAGCCGGGCTCGCCTCAGGACCCACCACCAACTCCTTAAAGAGAAACTGCGACCCAAATATTAGTTTTCTTTTTACCTATCAAATGTATTTAATGAAAAATGGGCAGACGTCAGATGGTAGAAAACGTGGCAGAACAAAGAGGTGCATCAAAACAAACAGGTTTAAAAAGCATCTCTCTGACTTTTTGACAGCATTTTTTTCCAGGCCCACATTTACGACCCACTGAAAACAGCTCTGCGACCCAGTTTTGGGCCCCGACCCACCAGTTGAGATCCGCTGATTTAAAGAATGTTTTGTAACATTTTGATTACTAAACTAGTGACTCAAGCATCCCCACGTCAGAAGAAAAAATAAGCTGCGTCATTGGTTGGTCAGTTCCAGCAGCAGTAACATCGTTGGTTAATGACCTGATTACTGCTGCATGTTTGGAATAGCTCCACAGAGCAGGAGAAGAATGGCACGACTGTGTAAAGATGTCATGAAGATCAACTGGGCAAAACCTCACACATGAACGATTCCCCTCAAATGTATGTTCAGTCTATTTCTGACATGAATATTAATTGATTATTTATTTCTAATAGTGATTCCACGAGTTAGTGTCTGCCTCACCCGACATTTTCCTTCCTCTGACTTAAACTTTGTAACCTCAAACACCACTGTGTCTCATTTTATATTACAGACTATCATCTAAATCTGTTTCTTACGTCTTAACATTTCAGAATCAGAAATACTTAATTAATCCTGGAGGGAAATTCGGTCGTTGCATTTGGACTAAAACACAAGCAGTAGAAATATAGTTATATACAATCAAATATTAATAAAACAGCAATTCAATTAAAATATCAAGCAATAAGAAATAAGTTGTGCTTTACAAAAGCGCAGAGAGTGAGGACAATATGGACTATATACACATTTGTAAGACTATGGCACAGTTTATTTTTATTATTATATTGCACAGTTTAAATAAATAATGAGTAATGGAGGAGGTTACAGTTTTTTAGTGTGAGATAGTCCAGGGTCAGTTAGTTTTAAATGGAGTCCTAATCATCCCGCTCATGCACTTCATGGATTCTGACATTAAGACGTCTACCACCTCATAGCTGTCTTTAGTGACTTATTGTGCATTAGTGTACATATATGGAGCGCAATAACACTGGTTCTGATTCTTAGGAAAACATCCTTTTCATGAGATAAACACATGTGTTTATACTCTGATGGACTGAGGCTCTATATGACCGGGACGTGATGTCAGAACATTAACTCATAAACTGACAGATTTATTTCCTGCATCTGGCTGCTGCAGCTATGTTTGCTTTAACCTCTTATAACTGTACAGCTTATTTATTCTACCATTTGCACATATACATACAGTATATATAGTTTTTAAATATTTAATCTTATAATTAAGATCCTTGACAGTGGGAGCAGTGCTGTTTCATAGACTTTAACATTCATATTCTATATGTGTTCATTGTTTCTGCCAAAAAAACACTATATGACAGTTTTGGGGTTTTTTTAAACCTACTTGGCAATAAACCTGATTCTGATTCTGATGGTCTGAAATTATAGTTTTCATGTAATTTGTAGAATGTGCTGTACTGCCAGCAGACCTGTTTATTTTCATTTTAAGATTTATATTTGACTTTTTATGACTTTATTTTAGAGATATGGACGGTGGATTGAGCCAGAGAGAGAGAAGAAAGGGGAAAGGAGCCACAAGCTGGATTTAAACACAGGCCGCCTACTCTGAAGTATGTGGGACACACATGCTAACCACTAGGCCCTCCTCTTAATGTTTTTTTCTGCATCTTGTAGCTTCATAGTTCAGACTTGTCTCGGGGCGTCTGCAGGATTTCTGCGCCCCATGAAAAGACCTCACACTAGACTCCACCACAGCCTCAGCCAACCATGAGATGTGAACCACACCTCCATTACACATAGAGAGTTTAATTAAGGTCGTCAACTTTTCCTCCTTAAGTACTTTTCAATGCCACACATTTTAATGATCGACTCAATCAAAAAGTACTAAAGCTTGAATTTTATTTTATTTTTATAGGAAAGGTTTGTAAGAGAAGAATCAATCCATGTTCAGACCAACACTTTGTCAACACTTTGGTATAGAAAAGTTGCCCATGTTTTTTTTTTCTATTTAGACAGTGTGCAGGAGTTGATGATGTTTGTTCACTAAAAACAAGAAATCGCCCAATATAGGACGTCTAGGATTTCTGTTTTAGTTGCCGTTGTATCAAAACAAGTATTGATATTGTTGTATGTTTTCTCCTATCATATCTACGTTTAAAATTCTGCGATCGTGACTACTTAAAAATAATTATAACTTTGTCCTAATTAATTTAAAAGACTCCTTCACACGGGCAGAATCTACTGGGAAAGTAGAAAGTGCTGGATCCTGCCAGTGTGAAGAGTCCTTCACATTAAGGTTGACGTCTCAGGTCCTTCTCTGAGAGCAGCGACCTCCATCTGTGGACTTATTGTAACTCGGTGTCACACCCTTTAACTGTGTTGCAGTTTAAATGACTCTTGAAACTTTTAGGCATCTTAACGGTTTCCCAGTTGGTTATTTTTGAATGAGATAAGAATCATGTTGATTTATTCTAACATGTTTACCTTTACTCTGACAGACTCAGTGACCTCAAAGTCAAACACAAACTACAGATCTACTTCTGGCTCATAGATGGCCCCTTCCTCTTTAGGGGCCCCGGGGAGTCAGTCCCTCGACGGAGCCCAAATGTCAGGATCATAAAAACTAAACTCCAGGCACAGAGATTCAATTACACACTGTTTAGAAACTGAAGTTTAACATCTGGTTCACACAGAAACAACATGTTTCCTCAACATCTGCACATCCTCTCTTTTATAACGTTGTATGTCGTGAGCTGTCAATTTCACATTTACTATCGAGAATAATTTTTCTTTCTCTATTTTTGTCTGAATTGTCACATTCTCCTATGTTGTTTCCAATAATCAGACCGTTTTCATAATATAATTTGCAGTCTCCTTTTTATATAGGCTAATGATTTCTTCATGTTAAAAAAAGTCAAAGTAAAGCTTGAGAGAAGGATATTGGATCGACGAGACATAATCCACCAAACCTAAAAATGTATTAGAAAAAGCTAAAGAGAAGAAAAAAGATAAAACTATCTGTACGTACCTGTCTGTCTGCCTTTTATCTGTCTATCTGTTTGTATCTGTACACATCGGTCTGTCTGTATCTGTAGGGACATGTCTGTATGTGTCTGTGTGTATCTGTACGTACCTGTCTGTCTATCTGTAACTGTCTGTATGTATCTGTCTGTCTGTCTGTCTTTCTGTATCTGTACACACCTGTCTGTCTGTCTGTATGTCTGTCTGACTGTTGTACGTATCTGTCTGTATGAACCTGTCTGTCTGTATGAACCTGTCTATCTGTCTGTACCTGTCTGTCTGCATGTGTTCAGTCTTCTTACCTGCAGCAGTGATGATTTCAGCAAACAGAAACAGTCCCAGATAAAGTAAAGTTTTCTGAGAGGCCATGTTAGCACAGAATCCTTCTCCCTCAGTCTCGTTGAAGAGTGTGTGCGAGCTCAGCAGGAGTGTGTGTCGTTAAATGTTGAAGTTGCTCACACACACACACACTGGGATGTTTCTGGTCCGCAGCACAAAGTGAGGGAGCTGTGGATGGGGAGCTGTTTAAGGTTCTCCTTGGTTCCCTTCTGACTCCTCCCACATTCCTGCATGGTGAATAAAGTTTCTTCATCTCATTTTAAACTCCGCCCCCTCTCACTGAAGCGTTTACTGAATGTCCTCGTGCTGCTTTCAAACAGTCTGTTCAGCGTGTTAGTCACTGGATGAGAGAGAAGGATGAGCAACAACCCTGACAAGAAGAAATCACTCATTCTGTGTCACTGAGGAGCAGATTCTCATGCAGCCCGCGTTCCCAGCTGTGTAGTCCGTAAAAAGCAAATACGCTCGAACTGGCCCACTTGGGACTGATTCAATCAGTCGTCAAGGCAACAGGGAATAAAGCTCAAGTTCAAGTTGGCAGGAAACATTCTCATCCTTTCTAAACTTTCACAGAAAGACTGAAGACTCAGACACACACAAAAGTTATTCATGACAAAAAAATAAAGATGGAGAGGGGATTTAAGGATGCTTTTGTTAATGTTACCAGTAATCATCTGTAAATGAAATGCCTTGAAGAGAAGTATCAACATCCGATGTGTGTGCCTTTCAGCAATGTAAGAAGTTCTTTAGTTTATTAAGGCTCAGCTCAGTGCGACCTGTCTGTCTGTGTACCTGTCTGTGTTCACTCTTACTCAAGCTGAAGCCAGCATGCTACTCACACAAAGTAGCTATGTGTGTAAAAATGTGATAAGGTGGTTACCATGGTGACAACATTTATACTCTTAGCATAATTTGTCCCCAGTCCCTGTAAGCATGTTTTTTCTGCTTCATTGTAGAATATAATTACATTAATTTAAAATAAGTTTGTTCATGTTGTAATCATAACTGTAATTGATTTACTTCAGCATCAAAAATGAACATTAAAGAGTGTAATTTAAAATGAAAATCAGCATCTATGAAGTCAACAGTAACGCTGAGAAACACTTTACAACAAAGGTCAAAATAAAAACTAAAATCCTGATGAACTCTTGATTTACTGTCTCACCATAAACAGTCCCATCACTCTGACTTTACCTGAATAAATTTACAATATCCGTTCAGCCATGTTAAATACAAATTCATGAAACATTTATCAAACGTCCATTAAATTACCTGATTTCACATGAAACTATCAGACCCATGTATTAGTAACATTATAGGTACCATGATTCATCTTCTCTGAAAGCACTTTCTCTTAACAAACACAAAGCATCGCTCTCAATCGAAATACTTACTGATTTATATATAAAAACATGAATTTATAAAAACAATGTCCGAGTTTGAACCAATCATAAAGACTCACAGTGATGTGATCATTTGTTTATTGTGAACAACAGGAGTCTATTAATACATTTATTAAATCAACAGGGATCATGTATTACTTTTAGCTTTACTAAGAGACCAGTAGACCTCTTGGGGAGTCACAGCTTAAAGCAACATTATGTGGGCGTTTGGTTGTGTGCGGTTTGGCGCCTACTAAAGGTCTCTGAGCGCAACTGCACTGTTGTGAAACACACACAGGGCCAGATCCACTCAGAATGAATCATGCCCACTAATAGCACCATGAATTGTGCAGAAATAGCACCCGCCATGTGCTCCGGGTTTATTTTGATGCCAGACTTGAACAATTTGAGTTTCACTGTTTAGAAAAAAATCCCTCTCAGAATGTCATAAAGAGGCAGAATTATTTTTCCGCTAAGTGCAATGTGCCGTCCTTTTGGGTTCTAACCCTACCCTTTGAGTAAGAGGAGCAAGAGAAAAAGAGAAAATGCGCCGATTAAATACACAGGTCTCAGTGGCGCCATTTCACACCACTGTAACTGCCTGAAGCAATGAGCGCTGGTCTTTATGGATGAGATGGAAGGGTGTATAGTGCCACATTTTTTACTAGGCTATATATATATGGAACCCTATCTGCTTGGCACTGCAGTTTGCATGCCTTTCACCCTTTGCACATGCTTGGTGGAAACACACTTTTACTCTCATTTGCACAAGTTTAGCACCAGCAGTGAAATCTTTTAGTGTTTTGACACAGCCAGGTCGACATCGATCTTGCAGTCTACTGTTTCAAAAAGCTCTGGCCAACATTTAAAAGCTCTATCAAATATGTACTCCAGTTTGGCTCCTTGTTCACTCACTCTTTTTTCTCTTCTTAGCTTCATTTCTTAGCCTCAGCTGTTGTATCAAACAGAGGCGACTCACTAGCTGCATTGTAGCTGAAGGCTGCAGAGTGAACGAGTGCCTTAGAATCAAGTCACAAGCCGGAAGCCGTTTCCTTACCTTAAAAGAGGTGAAGGGAAGAGAAGAGAGGACCCTGTTGTGTGCTGATGTTTTATTTTTAAGCCCAATTTTATTTTCTTCTTCTCATTTTTATCTAGCCATCTTCTCTGTTGTTTTTGTTTTACCATTAGCATTGACGTTCTCACTTATACTCTCCCATATTGCGTTTCTTTTTGTAATATTTATATTTTCTTGCTGCAACTAGAAAATATATGTTTTGCCTCTTTACTAATACCTCTAATTACATAGGACTGAGTTTCATTCATTCAGTTTCTTGTCTAAACTCTCTGTGACATAAACCATTAAAACACACAAAAGCCTAATTTAATATTATCGGCCTCCACAATCATTGCACCGTTTATCATTCATGCAATTTTTCTAAGTTTGGCAAAGGGCGCACCAATCCTCAGTGCGAGTCGATAGTAAATCAGCTTGCACATTTGTTTGCGGGTGCTATCATGTTTATACACGTTTTATACTCATGCAAACCTTTAGTGAATCAGGCCCTGAGCTGAAGAAAACATTGGACATAAAATGCAGCATTTTCTGCAGTTGAAACAAACGTATTGTGTCCTCGTAAAAAACATGACATATTATAACATTTAAACATGTTCACACAATAACTATGTTCATTATCCTGTTTTGCTTGGTGTAAGTCGAGAAATGGTGCCACACATGTGCACAACATCTGTTTTCTATTAGCAGGGAAAGAAGCCAAAGAATGCTGGAGAGAAAAAAAAATAAAAAGAGTGCATAGTTACAGAGATCCCAGCTGAAGCAGGGACGTCTTCGGGATTTCTCTGGAAACATTAAATGTCTGTAATTTCAACTTTTTAATATTTGGGCATCGGGATGATTCAGGGATCTTCAGTAAACATTTCATGACCTCTTTCCACAAAAAGTATGGCCCTGAGTAACTGTGGGAACAGTGCTGTGTCATTGACGAGAAACCTGCTGGTAACAATTAGAAACACTGTTTCTGTAGCTTGCCTCCTCACAAACACAAAGGATCTCAGAAGCTCGGCACATACTCCTGAAAGTCAAACTTATACAACACACTCACATTAGAATATTTAGTTTATGTTAGGCTTCCTACATTTTCTTTATTTACAACATGATGGAGACACTTCCACATTGAAGCAAACACAAAATACTCGTATAGACCATTTCAATGTTTTCACACAGGGATGACTGTTGATGTTTTGTTGGCATAAAGTCATAGCTCACTGTCAGTTCACATCAGGAAGCTTTGGAACATCTGGACGTCTTTTCCGAATATTTGTATTGTTTAGCATCAGAAGTTGTCTGACAGAGACAAGCTGATATTCATGGGGTGTGTTTTCCAGACCCGTACTTATTGTACTGTCAGTGGGTCAACGATCAAACTTACTTCAACAATAAGGTTCAGTGGACGGACATGTGTATATCTTGAGGAGAAATCTATAATAAAGAAAGATAAAAGAAAGGTAATTAAAGCCCTTGTCTCTGCTGCATCGCTCCGGTTTCAAACATGAACCCACCATTGTCATAAAGTCACACATAGTGCGTAGAAACAGCACAGATGGTGCAAAAAGAAGAACAGATGATTGACAGATGATATACAATTGTGGAACCAATCGGCAATCAACGTCCATCACCAGGCAGCGGTAAGCACTGAACAACTTCCAGGCAAGACTTCCTGTTCTGTGTGGTGTTATCTGCATTGTAAACGCCTTCTTTTTTTGGTCCATAATATCCCGGAGTAACGCCCGTTCATCTGTTAAGTCTCAGTTAAATTCAACAATATAGATTATAAATTACAACTCAGCTCCACTTCAGCGGTGTGAGCTTGACATTTTTTGACTTCCAATATACACTAAAATAAATTTGCTGAAATAACAACATCATGATGCAGATTTGTAGAAAGTCAAGCTTTGCCTGGTCTGTCTTCAAGAAGAAAACAACTTTTAAGTTTGTTTGTTTGAATGGAGATCTGATCGTTCACTGGATGCATTTCAGGGTAGTTTCACACTAGGGACCTGGGCCTGGATCCTTATTAACCCCAAAGTCCAGGTCATCTAATCAGTGTGAAGACAAGCCCGGGTACTGTGCCCGAGTCCGCTTGAAGAGGTGGTCTGGTCACATGGTCTGTTTCTCCTGCATGCACCACTGCTGACATGTGATTGGTCTATCATGCTGGGACTACAAATGAACTACTAAAACGAAACCACAAACCTTTCCATGCTGAAGATCATGACTCACAGAATTAAAATGTCTATGTAGACTCTGTAGATAGAGATTATCTGATACATGACCACCTCAATGCAAACAATGGGCGAACAAGTCGTGGTCATATCAGAGGGTCAGCCTGGAAAGAAGCCAATCAACAGGTGTTCTCGGACCGCAGGAACTTTTTTATAGTTCTAGGAACTCTTGGAATCCTCCTCCTCCCCCTCCCCTTTTTTATGTATCGTGCATGACATGAACTATGAATTATTTTAGTTCCTAGAATCCTGTTTGGAAACTTTTAGCTCCTGCTTCAGAGGTACTCTCCAAGCAAAAGAGAGACTTTGAGTGTGATTGGTCCATAGTATACAGTACAGTGTACATTGATTAGTAAAAAAACAAGAGCCAATCCAGTACTACCAACCGCCATATTGGAATCCCACTGTAAATGTTAATCATTAACAGGGAAAAACAGTCGGTAGAAGCTCTTAAAATCATTAAAAATGAAAGAAAACACAGACAAATCGGCTGACAACAAG